CCTATTTCACTCTTCTGCAAATGGATATCCAGTGTTTACTGCACCATCTTTCCTCGTTTCTTTTGTGTGTGTTGATTATTATAAATTGGCCTTTGATTACTGCTTTTGCTGTGTCCCAAAGGTTTTAATATTTTGTGTTATTATTCTCATTTGTCTCAAGGAATTTTTAAATTTTTCCCTTATTTGCTTTATTACCCAATCATTTTTGAGTATTATGTTGTTCAGTCCCCATATGTTTGTGTTTCTGTTTCTGTTTGTTTTATTGTTGATTTCTTATTTTATAGCATTGTGGTCTGAGAAGATAGGTTAAAATTTTTGAATTTGTGGAGGTGTGATTTTGGCCTAGTATGTGTGGTCTATTCTTGAAAATGTTCCACATGTGTTGGAGAAGAACCTATGCTGTGGTTTTGTTGGATGGAGTGTTCTGTATGTCTATGAGGTTGATTTTGTTGTTGAGATTTTTTTTAATTGGTCTGTCTTTTCTTGAGCATGGTGTATTGAAGTTTCCTGTTATTGTAGCAATATATATATATATTTCACTTCTAGGATTTGAATGATATATTTCTTTTTTTTTTTCTTGTGCTAAATCATATATATATTTTTAGTCATTTTATTAGGAGTTCATACAACTCTTATCACAATCCATACATACATCAATTGTGTAAATTGCATTTGTATATTCATTGCCCTCAATGAATGATATATTTCAAGGGTCTCATTTCAGTGCATATATGTTTGTTCTAATTATGTCTTCTTGGGCTATTGTTCTGTTGGTCATTATGTCATGTCCGGTCTTGTATCTTATTACATTGTTTGCCTTGAGATTAATATTGCGACCCCTACTTTGTTTTGGTAGCTTTTTGCTTTGTATGCTTTTGACCAGCCTCTGATTTTCAGTCTGTTCATGTCTGTGTTTCTTGTAGACAGCATATTGATGGATTTTGTTTTCTTAGCCATTCTACTACTACCCTCCCCTGTCTCTTTACTGGTGTATTTAGTCCATTAGCAGTTAGTGAGATTATGTATGTATATTTTTTCTGTCCTTATATATACACCGACAAATGTGGACGTCCTGATTAAGGGTGAATTTTAAGACTAGGATGGATTTTAAAGACGGGGAAGATAGAGCAATGATAGAACACAGCAATACCAACAAGAGAAGAGCTGGGTCTAGACTTGTTTGGGGGAAAGGGCCATGTGGAGCCGAGGTCTTGGAGTAGTTGGAGACAGTGTCTGGACGCGTGCTGTTATGCTGTCTTGTGGCATTTCAAGGTGTTAGGGTGGAGGGAATGATTTTGGTGTTTGGTATGGCTGAGAGTCTTGTATTCTTATGATTTAGGTTAATCATCTTAAAGGAATAGACCTTTGGTGCATCAGTTTGGAGGGGATGGGGTTGGTTTTTTGGATGATGGAGTTGACCAAGTAGGGGTGGGGGAGTAGGGTCTATAATTGCCATGGGTCCAGGAAATAGGAACGAAGCACCAGCCGACTCAGAGGGCAGGTTGCTTATCTGAGCAGCTTGGGGTGCTGAGCAGTGGCTGGTGTCCTGGGACAGCTGGTGTATTGCTAGGCCTAACCAGTGGGACAGATGGAGAAGCTTCTGGGCCCTGAGGCTTTTAGTCTTTGTTTCATGCCTGTGCTTTGTTAAAACAGCTGTTGAAGAGTCCAGCTACTTGTATTGTTATGCTAATATCCTGCTAACCAGCCAGGTGTGTGTTGTCTGCCAACAACAGTAGCTAAAAGGAAAACAAAAAAAGCTTCAAAGGGTCATGCTTTTGGGGTACTTTAAGACAGGGGCATGCAGAGCTGTTCCTCAGAACAGGGGATTGGTTTTGCCAAGTGGGACTGGAGTTCCCCCGGTGTGTGTAGGGAATTAGTTTCTACACTATTGATGCCCACTCCAGGCTGCCCTTGTGAATTATCCCCACTTTGGCTATCCCTGCTATTGGGGAGGGAGGGCTTCGAGGGTATCAGAGCAGAGCTCCCTTGACTTGGACTGAGAGCCAGACCTATTTGTGCTTGTATCCACCACAGGCTGGTCACACAGAGCGCTGTGTACTTGCCACCCAGTCAGTCAGCCACCTTAGCCAGCCTTGGGACCTGGAACATTCAGTTGGGAGAGTTTGGAAGCTGCTCTGTGCTGGCTTGTGCCAAATGTTGATGACAAAGGGAAGTCTATCAATAGGTGTTGCTGCCCTTTGATTTTAATTTGTGTCCATTTATCTTTATGCTGAGAATCTCGTGATCTGAAAGCGTAGGGTATCTCTGTGGCCCCTCTGAGCTGGTCCCTGATGAGTCCCTCCCATAGGTGCTACTTGGTCATCATTTTGCTCCTACTCTTAGTTTTCTTTATATTGAGTTGTAATCCATACTGAAGGGTACACATCTTGATATTCATCAGCAAGTGCTTCTATTCCTCTTTCAGGAAGCAAAGTTCTGTCATCTGCATATTGTTAATAAGCCTTCCTCCAATCTCGATGACACGGTCTTCATATAACTCAATTTACTCTCATTATTTGCTCAGCATATAGATGCAGCAAGCATGGTGAGAGTATACAACCGCAATGAACACCTTTCTTGATTTTAAACCATGCAGTATTATTTTATCGCTTTGTTCGCGCAATGTTGATCCATGTACAGGTTCCGCATGAGCACACTGAAAGGTCCTGGAATTCCCCTTGTTCTGATTATGGTCCATGGTTTTTTATGGTCTACATGGTTGCATGCCTTTGCATAGTCAATAGAACACAAGTAAATATCTTTCTGGTGTTACCTGCTCTTAAAATTTAACCAGGATCCATCTGATGTTAACCATAATGTCCCCAGTGCCACGTCCTCTTCTGAATCCAGCCTGAATTTGTGGTGCTCCTTGTGGATGTACTGCTGCCACTGTTGTTGGGCGATCTTCAGTTCTTAATGACACGGTTTCATAATTTACTCATTCTGGTGGGTCATAAAGTGAGTATAAATACGGATCTCATCCTTTTGGTTGGCCAAGTACCTCTCTTCCAAATTTCATGGAATGGACACAAGCGTGCTTACGGTGCTTCATCTGCTTGTTGGAACATTTCAGTTGGCATTCTGTCAATTCATGGAGCCTTGTTTTTGGCTAATGGTTTCAGAGCAGCTTGGATTTCTTCCTTCAGTAACCTCAGTTCTTGCTACCTCGTGAAATAGATGAATGTCAACAAGTTGTTTTTAGAATAGTGACTCTGTGCATTTCTTCCATCTTCTTTTGATTCTTCCTGAATCATTCAGTGTTGCCCATAGAATCATTCAGTATTGCAACTCAAGGCTTGATTTTTTTTTCCCCATTTCAATTAGCTTGATATATGCTGAGTGTGTACTTTCACTGGTTTTATAGCTCTAGGTCCTTGCACATTTCATTTTAATATTTGACTTCGTCTTCTCAAGCTGCCCTTTGAAAATTTCTATTAAGTTCTTTGACTTCATCCTTTCTTGCATTTGCTTTAGCGACTCTAAGATTCTATCCCTGGTCTGTCAGCTTGTCCTATGATCAAGAACACGTGTCAGAGTCTCTTCTGACATCCAATTTCATATCTTCTTTCTTTCCTGTCTTTTTAATGACCTTCTGCTTTCTTGTATGATGCTCTTGATGTCATCCCATAGATCATCAGGTCTTTTGTTATTATGTGTCATGTGTTAAATCTGTTCCTGAAATGTTTTCAAAGTACAGGTAGCATGTACTCAGGCATTTTGGAGCTCGTGGATATGTTTGCATTTTCTTCAACTGAACCTACATATGAGCAATTGATGGTCTGTGCCAGTCAGCCCCTGGCCCTGTTTTGGCTGCTGTTATTGAGACTGTGCATCATCTTAGGGACTCGTCAACATTTATGAGTTCCTGTTACTCATGGAAAGGTGGAGCTGGCCCCAGAGCCTGGTGGGCATGGGGGGGTGCACTCTGGAAGAGGGCAGCCTTGGCAGGTGGCCTTGAGCTCAGAAGATTAGGGATGGATCTGTGCACAGGGGCAGGGTCCTGGCAGCCATACCTGCAAATAGATTGTGTGGAGAAGAGTCCAGAACAGAGAAATGTACTTGGGTTAGTGGAGACTCGGTGAGTGACACCTGTTGTCAGTGGTTGGTTTATAGAAACAAGGTGACTGAATCTGTGGAGGACACCCCTGAGCAGGAAGACCTCGAGAGACAGATTGTGGAGCCAGGAAAATGGTCATTGACACTGTTACCTGGCTGAGAGCATCAGGTTCCGGATGTGTGCATGGGTTGAGAGTATTGTGGAGATTATTGTGTGGAAATGAGAGTATTGTGAGGATGAGGGTATTGTGGGGATGACAGTATTGTGGGGGATGAGAGTATTGTGGTGATGACAGTATTGTAGGGATGAGAGTACCGTAGGGATGACAGTATTGTGG